AACAGAGTACCCGGCTGGGAGGGCCTGTGCCCATATGGCAGCACTATCGTCTCCCAGCCAGGTCTCTGTGAAACACGCCAGGTCGGCGTCCTCATCCAGAAGTAAATCATGGACAATATGAGTCTTATTTTTGACCGACCTGGTGTTACAGAGGAGCAAAGTGAGGGTTCGTGGAATGGTAGGTCTGCTCCCCAAGCTATTCTGGGAAACAGAGGGGACTGAAGGCGGGATAGCTACCAAACAGCGATCCCGCCTTCTTTTGTAACATTTGTCCGCTCTGCTACCGCCATATCTCCCATTCCCCAACGCTACTTTGATTAGCGACTCTGTCTCCCTTCCCGTTGCCAAACCCACTGATAACTCCTCTCACACAGGCTGTTTAAAGCATAAAGGCTTGTAATACCAGCCTTGGAGCCGCAAAGCTGGCGGCCAGAGATCTCATAACTCTCTGTTGCCAGTGAAGGAGTTTAAGGCCCTATATAGGGCAGCTGGGGTAGTCTTTCTCCCCCCACACTGGCCGCAGAAGAGGAAAAGTTCGGAGGGGACCTTTAATAGTCTCAGGTAATCCCAAGGTCCAAACAGCAGCAAGTTCACGGGAGAGGAGATGTTGGGCAGAGTATCTTGTCTCCGCCTTTCCATCCAGGGACTGCGCTACTGCTCCGCCGCCGCTTGCCTCTTCCTTTTTGAGTCCTGCCCTGGCCTGGCTGCAGGGACACGCCCCCAACACCGCCGGTGCTCCAGGTGGTGGTGGAAGGGAGCCGGCGTTACAGGGCCCACACCCCTCTCTTCAGCGGAGCCTCCCGCCGCCACTGTTGCCGCGTCCTCCACGGCCTGATGATGCTGCCGGGCTTTAAGTCCTGCCCTGGCCTGGCTGCGGGGACACGCCCCCAACGCCGCCGGTGCTCCAGGTGGTGGTGGAAGGGAGCCGGCGTTACAGGGCCCATGCCCCTCTCTTCAGCGGAGCCTCCCGCCACCGCTGTTGCCGCGTCCTCCATTGTTCCTGGGCAGAAGGTTGCAATGTATGAGATGCCCTGAAAAGGATGATGTCTTGACATCCTGTCTGCATAGCAAAGATGGGCCATATCACTGGGTTGAGGGGCCATTTGGCCTGTCCTCCCTGAAGGCCAAACCTCTCTCAAAAATATAAATTGTCACATTTTTTTTCTTTGAAATTGGGAGTAACTGAAAGTTCATTTATCCCAAGCCCTGTTGATTCATGTTGGAAATATGTTGAAACAATCCACAAAGAGAACTCTACTTCCAGACCTTTTCCCACCCAGATAGTCCCAACTCATGAGCTGGGAACCCTGGTTTGGGTGGATGCTTGATCTTAGGGAAAGCAACACAAGTCAAACTCATCACTCTCCCCCCAAGTGAGAGGAATGATGGAGATGGAAGGAGGCAGGACTAGTCCATTAGCCTTGTTGTGTGTTGGTACAATGCATGACTAAAGGTGCATTTACTCTGCAGAAATACTGCAGTTTGACACCACTTTAAGTCCCATGGCTCCATCCTATAGAATTCTGGGATTTGTACTTTTGTGAGGCATCAGCACTCTTTGGCTGCGGAGGTTAAAGATCTTGCAAAACTACAAATCTCAGGATTCCATAGGATGGAGCTGCAGCACTTAAAGTGGTGTCAAAATGCATTGTTTCTACAGTATAGCTGAACCCTAGGGCTGCAATATATCCAGGCAATCAGAATTTCATTTCTGATTTTGAGCAGGGAAAGCCTCACCCTGCAACATGGTCCTTTATCTTGTGCTAGTACAAAATTATTGCTCATGGGGCCCTTTCTCACTAGACAGTTATAGCACTGTGATTCCACTTTAACTGACATGAGCAGTGAATCCCAAGCCAGGGAGATCCTCTGGTGCCTCTAACCAAACTACAAATCTCAGGATTTCATACAATATATAGCCACAGTGGATATAATAGTATGATTGTGTAGTGTGAAAGGGCCTCTGGAGGACACGATGAGTAGCAAATCATCTGTTTTGATGAAGAATTGGGAGGGATCCTGGAGAAGTATTGGTGTGGGGCAGGGATTGAAAATGGTCCTGAGGAAAGCATGCAACTCACAACCCACACTTTGCCTACCCTTGTATGTACAGGAATGCAGCCTCAGTTTTCATTTAGTAGATAAAAAAGAATATATATGGTCCCAGTGACAGAAGATCAAGCTATTATAGTGAAGTTCCTTAGATTTCCTGTAAAGAAAACTACTTGCATTGGGCTGATGATTTCATTGAGAATTGAAGTTCTTGCCATGATACTTCTCAGAGGTAGCTTTAGAGAAAAGATAATTGAACTTATCCAATGTTATTTTAAGTGGTAGAGACATAGTGTAGTGGTTTGAGCATTGGACTACAGCTCTGGATACTAGGGTTCAAAGTCCTATTCAGCCATGGAAACTCACTGGGTGACCTTGGGCAAGTCACACTCTCTCATCCTCAGAGGGAGGCAATGACAAATCCCTCTGACCAAATCTTGCTGAGGGTCACCTTAGGGTCACCATAAGTGACTTGAAGACATACAACAACATTTTCAGTAGCAGTTCAGCACCTTGGAAAACTCTTTTAAAGTTTTGGGAATGAGGTTCAGAACCTTGGCAGATCCAACCCAACCTGCCACTGACATGGAGGCCACTGGCCAACCATGCTTACTTTAATTTTTAAAAATATATTTGTTGCTATTTTATATGTTACTTTTCTGAAAAAGTACTTAATGCAGCCTGCGATACAAGATAATGCTCTGTTATCTGATTTGAAAGGAAAATAAATAAATAAAGAATAAATAGAGCAAAAACAAAGGAGAAAAGTACAGTTACATATGTATCAGCTATTTCATACTGGTGCACAGAGAAGTTCCATATAAGACTAGGTGAAATGGACACAGCAGAAGTTCAGCCTTGGAGGAGAGGAGCCAAATTAGTCTGAGCCAAAAGCAGACAGCTACTGATTCAGCTGTCCTTGGAGAGATTTGTTTAGCTCCACAGTGTTTAATATAACTAGCAAGGCTGCTCTCCAGGTTTCGATACAGCGGTCTTTTCAAGCTTGCCAGGAAAGGTGTGGTTTTGACTAGAACTCTGTGGACCACTGGCTTATTTTAAAAGCACTAAGTGAGATTGTCTTACCAGTTATGATAAAACTAACCAATGTTCAACTGATCCTCCATGTTAGCTGAGATGTAACTCACTGATTCAGGCCAAGAGGCATCAGTCTTTCAACTCGCAAGCTGAAAAGTTGCCAGTTTTCCATGGGTGGATTGCCCATCTACAATCTGATCATTGTTGTGACAGATGTTTGGCATGTGCAAATGCACAATAGTGACAAAATGGTGATTTCCAAGATAGTATAAAAGGGTCAACTTGCTTAATTGTAACAAGGCACAGTACTGCGGATGAATGGCTGTAGAGTGATTTGAGCCCACACCCGTATATCTTGGAATAGCATAAGTGCTTTAAATATTCTGCTCCATGAACAGCACTGCTACTGTTATGAGCAATTGTTCAAAAAATAGAGCCTCCCTCCAGGAACCATGGAGATGTGTGTATGAGAATGTACCTATACCATATAAGTGTAACAGTTTGATACCACTCACATGGCTCTGTCTTATGGAATCTGGGAACTGCTAGTTTGGTGAGATATATAGAATTATAGAATTAGCTGTTAAAGAGCACTAGTTCATGAAAGCACTAAGACTACTGCCACACTTCAGAGTTAATGCAGTTTGACACTGTTTTCACTGTCATGGCTCCATTCTATGGAATCCTGGGTTTTGTAGTTTGTTGTGGCATCAGAGTTCTCTGACAGAGAAGACTAAGCCATGGCAGTTCAAGTGGTGTCAAACTCTATTAATTCTATTATTAGAATTAATTATTATTAGAACTCTATTAATTCTTCAGTGTAGAGAGTTCAATGTAGATGCAGCTAGAACCCCAGCATTCCATCCAGCAGAGCCGTGACAGCAAAAGTGGGACCAGTTACAGTTGTGCAGTAACTGTGAGCACACCCTGAGATGGACTTGGAAGAAAACAAGCAACATAGATGTGAAAAGAAGTTCCTAGCTGCTGTAATCATGTCTGGTCGTGGTAAGGGCGGTAAAGGTTTAGGGAAAGGAGGTGCCAAGAGGCACCGCAAGGGAAGGGTTGATACCAGTTGATACCAGTTGACAACAAACTGGGAAGGTTAAGAGATCTGCACTGTTTACATATTGGAAGGAGTGGCCATAATTATATTTACAAGCATACAAGAAACAATGGTTAGATGGAAGAGTGTGAGGTGGAAAACTGGTAAAGAGAGATCAGAAAAACTAGAACTTGAGTAACATAGGAAAGAATGCAGAAGAACACCACAGAGAAATGTAATTGATAGTCATCAACATCCAAATGTTAATAGTTTCTTATGTAGGTAAGCTCATGGAACAATTCATAGTTACCACCCAAAACAGCTGAAGCTTCAGGTCTTACTTGGTTCTTATTCAGTTTTGGATCCAAATGTTCATATCCTACAGAGAAAAAAGTTTCAAATTTTATAGCCACCCCACAGCCCAGGTTTAAATCTAGAATTTAATTTTTCCACACATACACTGGATGGAGAATTAATGTTATCTCTAGGGAAAAGGCTTATAAATTCTCTCCTAGAGTGCTTCAGGTTGTTGAGGCATTCCTCTATTCTAGTCACAGCTGGAAGCAGAATGAAGGTGGAGGTTCTCAGG